GCTGGTAAACATTGCAAAGAGGGATTTGTATTCATTAATAATATTCGTAAACGTAACCATGTTGTAGCCTGAGAAAGGCTAAACTATATAAAAGAATACATTTATTAACTACATTATCTCATTTAGCTGTAGCTTTTATAAACAAATAAAAGACGACTTGAACAGTCGTTGAACCAGGGACCTGCGGTTGAGAGTCGTCTGCTTTCGAGCTGAGCCACAGCCTACACACTGGATCTACCTGAAGATACTGGATACTATTTATTCCTGTATTTATTCATGTTTTCATTCCTACATTTTTTCATGCTTTTATTTATTTATACTTATGACATGTTCCGACCTCTATATAAGTGAGGGTCTGAGCTCTCTTAATTCCATCGTGTCACCGGGCCCGGGTACAGGAGGGGTAATATGGTTCTTATTATAAATCCATGGGTATGAGCGTTGTGGTTCAATCGATCTGAAGCACTTTCTGAAGCAGTCACGTGGTATTGAGGGGCAGCGAGGCTTCGTTTGTCATCGGTGACGTCACTGGCCCAAAACGATACAAGCCTCGATACAAGGTTTACAAAAAGCTTCAGGGATTACTCGACAGACGCTCCGAAGCCTCGGCGCAATACGTAACATCACTAGATCTAAGTACTTCTCCAACCTCTGGTAAGACTTCCTGTCGATGATTATTTGGAAAAACATACCCGGAAACGTTTTCTATGTTGTGATTGGACTGACGCTAGCTGCGTCATTTACGCGCCTAGGTGACCTCAGCACATGCGCCGCTATGTTTTGAAAACCAGGACAGCCAAAGCCTCTCACTCATGCTCTCAATGCATTCTACAGCAATACATGTGCATACAATGATATACTTCATGATGCATCTAATGTAACAGAAAGGTAAAGGATGCCAAAGTCTCTGAAGAAGTCCTGCAGCGCTCAGACCTCCATCAGCAGATACTTCGGAGGTCTGAGCAGCAGCACTGTGCCTCAGTGTGGGACTAACAAGAATCCTGCCGAGCAGCAGCTCTCAAGGGGCAAGGTGAGGTTTGCTTTATTGAACGCATGCTTGGGTCAGATAAAAGTAACTTAAATATGATTAGTGACCTAAAACCGTTTGTCCTGCAGAAGAAACTGTCCCCTGGTGATGGTTTTGGATTGCCAACAAAACGAGCCAAACTTTCTCTACAAGACCTGCCGGTGGAGGATTTAGACTGTGAGCCTTCCTCCTTTCAGAGCAATACAAGTGAGTGTGTGCACCGCAAACCAAAAATCCTCACATTAACCCTACACATGTCACTATCAGCCAAACCCATTCCAGGCAGTTAAACCCTCCTGTTTATGGGAGAGGTTTGGAATTGACATGAGATAGAGCTGCTCATCATGTTTAAACCAACAAGTTAAAGATCCCTATTATACTGTTTTTCATCAATATGTTATAGGTCTCAGATATATACAAAACATGTCTCTGAAGTGTTTGGCTCCAAATACCAAACAGATCATGCATTGCAGCATCCCATAAACCCCTCTGTTTCAGCCCTGTTTCCAAAGTGCTGATTCTCTGTCTGTTACTTTAGATGAGAATAAGGAGCCACGCCCCTCTGAGAGGTATTTGGTTAAAAAGAACACAATGGTGCTCTAGGAGGAGATTCAGGTGATAAGGTGGGGGGCTACCTTGGTTGGTGATTGGCTAATGGTTACACAAGCCAAAAACAATCCGTTATTACATGCATGAAGTGGCCAACATCTGATCAGCTACATTTGTCAGCACAGGTTTTATATAATAGATCCAACGCAAAAGGAGAAGCCAAATCTTTTTTCCTGAAACTTTCAGAATCTCTTTACACAGAGGGGACACATGTTTATGTATAAAAGACATGGAGAAGTGGAGTTTGGATAATAGGTGACCTTTAAATCGTTTTGACTAATATGCGTTGATTTGTATGACGAACTTGATTAATGGCAGCAAATCCTGTGCATCCAGGTAATAATGTATGAATAGGAAAACAAATATTTACGTTTGTGACGTTCTTTTATGGATTAATACTCTTTATAGTCATATTTCATCTGTGTTTCTTGACACTCTAGAGACACCGATCATATCAAGCAAAGGAGCAGCAGGCCTTTGCTCCTCCACTTTGGAGAAGCTGAAAGGCTTCACCTGCTCGACTGAGGCCGGTGATGGTGCTAGCAGTAAAATCTGTGACGGAGGAAGCAGTATCCGGCCTCCTCAGGATGTTGCTGCACAACACAGCAATACAAATAAACTTCATCAGCCGGGAGAGGAGGATGAGGAGGAAGGGGATGTTGAAGAAAAAGGGGGTTCAAGGTTTGCTGCTTCAAAACAGGTAAACTCTAAGTAAATCGTCTGTGTTTATACCGGCATTTAAAAATATTTAGCAATATTTTATTCTTTGCCTGAGCCATATCTTGACATAGAGGACACAACAACCTCTAAAAAAGGTAAGGTAAGAATGTGTTTTCATGACAAACACTCACATCATGATAGAGCTCTTTGATCAATGGATTGTGGAAAAGAACATCATCATAATTTCTCTCTGTTAAACACGTTTTCCCGGCAGACAGGAGAAGGCTTAGCTTTCCTTCAGATAACAAACCAACACAAATGTTTGAGCTGTGAAGAGTTTCTTCATTCTGCTCAGATCTCTTTAAAAACATTATGACACTCAATCACCTTTAATTTCATTATTCTATATTCTTTACGGAGTGAAAGGTATTGCAATTAAAACAACAATAGCACTAAAGTGATAGATCAGCCTAGCCAATACATGGGCTGATACGAACTGAATGCAGATAAATCAGTTTAATGTATTCTACACCTGTAAAGTTTTGTCATGCCAAATCGGGCCATGAGCGTAAAGTGGGGGTCAATTAGAGACACATAGACTCACAAAGTAAAAGCAATACCAGCATTGCTTCTGCCGCTGGTATCGAAAAGTTCCTCTACAGAAACGGCAACAATATGCTTGAAGTCAATTAGGATCAATGTTTTCATACTGTGGACATTTCTGTCATATAACACATTTTAGGGATCTTTGTTATAATTGTTTGGTTCTAGTATTTTATCACTCAGGGGACGTTAAGTACATTTTTTCTCACATATCAGTTGGAAATAAAGAACTACATTCTTTGTGTGGGGAACTGTTTCTACTAAAATGATTTCTATGTCGTCTTTTCTATTGCAGGCGTTCCACTTTTCTCAGTTTGCCAATTCAGGAGGAGGGGGAGGGGGAGTAAGGTTTGCAGATCTGAGTCCCCCCTCAGACTCGAACGCCCCCTCAAAGCGCTCAAAGAAAGTGTTCACCCCCCTGGAGCAGCAGGTGATCCAGCTGAAACAGCAGCACCCGGACGCGTTGTTGGCTGTGGAGTGTGGATACAAGTACAGGTTCTTTGGAGAGGATGCAGTGGTGAGAACTGCATCTGTGTTATTATGTGGGTGCAAGGTTTAAGATATGCCTGAATACATTTTTCTAGAACATTCGAAACATTAACTAACATTATAAAAAGAATGTGAAAAAAAGTACAGTGCTGAAGTTATGTCAAAGACATCTAATGTATCTTTTTGCAGAGATATCTACTGCAATTAGCATGCTAATCAGCTAGCCCCAGCCCTTCCTTTCTTGTAATACCACTTGTTCCTCTATAGGCAATATTGAGTTGCTGTAGTGTCAGTCTCAAACATATACAAATATCTCACTGTGTGAAAGTCATGTTTCATGTGGTAGATATTTGTTTCAATGCAGGTTATAGGATATTTCCAGGTAATGGTAATTGTCGGAATAATTTCGCCCTACATGTTTACCTTTTGACCTCTGACTTAGCTGACCAACCTTGAGCAGCCGTTATCTCCCATAAGGAGGGGCTGCTCTAGCAAGTTGTTGTTGTTACCAGTTTATGACCGGGCAACTCTCTGTCAGAGATAGTTATTGTTGTGGGAGACCTGGAACACAGGGGTCATCGGGGTGTAGATGACCCCGAGCCATAAGCGACAACAAATGTGATTCAGTTTCCTCATCTGTTTAGTCTATCTATTGAAGAATGTTGTCATTACACTCAGAACTAGTTAAAACCTGGAGCTACAGGAGGGTTCTTCAGAATTGATTGTGGCATCTCAACCTTGGGGCCAAACCGCGGCCTGTGACATGTCTTTTGAATTCTCCGGCTGAAGCTCCAAATAAACCGTCAGTGTTTGCCATCAAAGCTCCAGCTCTCCTCGTGTCTGATGAGCGAACATCTATAGACCTCAGCGTGCTCTACTCCAAACTCATTGCAGAAGTAAGAGCAGCAAATCTTCACTTTTGAGAAATTGGAGCTGTGAAATGTATTTTGCAAAAATGACTTTTCTGTCAACACATTCACTGTTTTAGATGGACTTAAATATATTGTTGGTTAATTTAATCAAGATGTGTTTTTTTATATTATCTTTTGTGTGTACAAATCTGAATCTATGCAGCAAAGGAAGCTGTAAAATGTATGTTGTGAAATAAAAGTACACTATTTCCCTTTGAATGGTAGCGGAGTAAAAGTATAAAGAAAATACTTAAGTAAATTCCAAGCACTTCAAATTCCTACTTAAGTACTGTACGTGAGTAAACATACACTGTAAAATATTACCATGATTTCAAAATATTTAGCTGTAATATTTTACAATAAATTACTGTTTTACCACTTTACAGTCTTTACCTGTAATGTTCACAATATAATGCTG